TTAAAAAAAAAAATTCCAAGAGGGAGCCTCTGATGGTGGATTAGTATTTTCCCCTGGTGCAAGAAGGGACTTTGAGAGCCCATTCCACGTGAAGGGTTACACTCTGGCCCTGGACACATGGGGAAGGGCCCAGGACCAGCACAGGAAGATTTGGTGGACTTTGCAGAGCCCCCTTTGAGGGCCCTACTCTGCCTGGGGAGTGGTGGGTGGATGGAGTGGGGGGGTGGCTTGGGGGTGGGGGAGGAGGGTTGGGGGTAAGGGGAGGGAGAGGGAGAAGGGACTCGAAACAAGCTTGTTCCCTAACTAGAACTAATAAATAAATTTAAAAAAAAATTCCAAGGCTAATATTTTTACCTTCAGCAAGCTCCTCCAGACTTGGCACATGGAAAGAAAATTCAATACAAGCCATTTTCTTTCTTCCCAGCAAGGCTGCTCACACACAGCTGTTGGCTGACTATCACAGATAGTTAGCTGTTGGCTAACTATCACTAGAGTTCACAGGACACCAGCACAAATAGTCCTTGGGGGAATCTGGAAATGCACAGTAAAGTTCAGTTACTTGATGAAGGCAAAGGTCATCGAGGTTCCATATCCTCAGAGTTCACTTATGTAAGGAGGGCAAAGTGCCCGAAGCCTCCCTTAGAGCCCCAAACACAACACCATGTCCATTCCACGTGATAGGTGAGGGACCTCATTCCTACTGTTCTTTCTCTCTTCCTTTTAGTCTGTTTTCTCCTCTCCCTCCTCCCTTCCTGGGAGTGTTGTATGTAGAACTCAGGGCCTCAGCTAAGTCTTTTTCATTTCTGTTTATTCAGTACTGAGATGGAACCAGGGCCTCAGGTAGGCCAGGAAAGCAATCTCCTGCTGAGTGCTATACTCAGATTGAACCTGGGCTTTTCTAATAGAGGATTAGAATATGGCCTTGAAACAAAAGATATGTACTAAGAATTACAAACAAGTGGTTTACTACATGTGTGCATGTGTGTATGTATGTACAATTTATAGGAGTTTATACAGTTCTATGTATATACAAAGACATAGGATACATCATTTGTTTCCTACTCTCTATTTGACATTTAAAGTACAAGTTAGTTGTCTTAGGTGAAATAAGTTGTTTTTCGTATTACATTTATTTATTTGTGTGCATGTGCACACCACAGCACACCTGTGCAGGTCAGAGGCTAACTTACAGGAGTTGGTTCTCTCTCCATCATGTGGTTGCTGGGGACTGAACTCAGACAGTCTGTTGTGATGGTAAGTACCTTTACCCACCAAGCCATCTTGCTGGCCTGACTACCTTTATTATTATTTTAAGATTTATTTATTTATTATGTATACAAGGATCACTGTATGGCCCAGGCTAGTCTGAAATAGTGCTCCTCCTGATTGAACCTCTTGAGCGCTGGGATTTTATGTGCGTGCACCACACCTGGCTTTAATGTAATTCAGTATTTATGGAGAAAAATGAAAGCACATTTGATAATTATGCCCACAGCAGAAATAAGAATTCAAATTAGATCCAAAGACATCCCTAATTTTATACTCCTTACCTTCTTAAAAGAAGGCGTTTGTTTTATATCTCTACCAAAATAGAAACAAAGGTGCAACTATGGGAGCTTCGGCCTGAACAACTGGTTTAGAGATGTAGAGTTGTGGCAGGCTGACGGCAGTGGAGAATATGTGATAGAAAGTGTGGTGTGGAGAAGGGCATTGGTGGTGCACGCCTTTAATCCCAGCACTTGGGAGGCAGAGGCAGGCGGATCTCTGTGAATTCGAGGCCAGCCTGGTCTCCAGAGCAAGTGCCAGGATAGGCTCCAAAGCTACACAGAGAAACCCTGTCTCCAAAAACCAAAAAAA